AAAAAATAAACTACACAGACACTCTCTAATACATCTAGTAATATCTCTTATACACTGCATCGACAACAAAACAAACACATTAGAAAAATAAACTCTCTACCCAAAAGAAATATCTAAAGTCCATACACCCACTTCCATCCCTGTAACATCATACCAAATCACCACAGTACTCCATTAAAACATTCCATTACCACCTCAATAAGCATAACCAGCCTATGATATACACAACAACACTCTTATACCTTGTCATCTGTCAACAATAACAACAATAACAATCATTCATCATGAAAACATTGCCACAGTGAACACCCAATTCTTCATGTAAACTCACTACTCCAGTCCCTCTCTCTCCCTTAAACTCTCAAATAATACTTCATTCCAAGTCACTCTTCATTAAACTTATTACATGTTTTACTTCACATTAAAAACATTTTTAATGCATTTCAAAACAATGAAAGCTTAAACTCTTTTATAAAAGAAACAACTAACTTTTTATTTATATAATAGACTTGAAGATCTTATTAATTTTGCTAATTAATAGTTAGCATTACGGAATGAATTTTACTTATATATAATTCACAATTATTAATTACATGTCCATATGTTAATCTCTCCATAAAAAGACAAACACACTAACATTAGTTAATTTTATTTTTAAAAAATCGTCTTCTTTAACAGACATTAATTATGTTACTGTTCTAACTATATTCTGTCTACAAAAGGACACAAAAAAATACAAGAAGAAGCTCCCTTAGCATTATATTAAAACATTATTATATTATATATTACTTTTTCCATTCTTCTCACTTTATCAAATCAAGACTACTGTTTGACTTACCAACACACACACAACACACAACACACATCACACAACACATTACACACATACACACTCATTTCATGTCTAACAGATATTTATTAATCTTATTTATCAAATCTTGTATCACAAATAAGGAAGATCTGAATCCTGACTGATGTTAACGGTTACTGTTAACGTATTCCTCTCTCGAGGTTTGTTGTCCCTAGCTCCAGCCCGTTCTTATTTCCCAGCAACCAGGAGACTGAGAATAAAGACTTTCATTTGACTTCATGAGATTTATTCTGTAAAGGAAGTATTACAAGTTCCACCGTCCTTTATTTAAACCAATACTTTTATGACAATTTTTTCCACCAACACACCACTGCATGTTTTTTTTCCAGGCTGTTTAAAATTCACACAAGTGATCAAAATTTTTTAAAGTTGTAATTAGCTACTAGACACTTTAAGTTACACGACCCCTTTTTTAAAAGCCATCTTTTCATCATATTTTAAAAAAAAAAACCCCTTTATTAACAAAATAGATTTGTAGGTCACTCCATTTCTCCCTGTTTGTTTTGTTTTTTGTGTGTTTTTTTTTTGACTTGCTTCAAAATTCTCCTTCAACACCACACACACACACACACTTTTCCTCTTTTCAACGTGTTTTATTTTTTTTATTCTTTTTTTTGTTGTTTCTAACAGATAGCAGCCGTTAAACATTAACGCCCCTTCCGTGGTTAAATGCAACCCCAAGACATGTGAACCTTTGGATTTTTATATGATGATCACACACACACCGCACACAGGATTTGTAGTCCCTGAGACAGTAACACACACACAACACAACACTCTCTTCCCATAATACACACTCTGGACGATAGTATCTGGAAATTTGCTCAGGTGTAGGTTTTTCTGGATTTTCACCAAAAGTTTTCTAGATTCTGAATTTTCAAATTCTTTAAAACCACAGTAAGAAAGAGAAAAAGAAGAATAAGTTAGAAGAGATATCTGCAAAGTTAGTTTCTTATCGCTCTTCCTTCTCTGTTACATATCCAGCATAAACATGTTTACTGAACAAACATGAGAGTGATAGAGAAGACATGCCCTCAACCTGATTGGTCACTTGCTTTCTTAATAATAAATTTTTAAAAATAGAAATTATAATATAATATTTCATAATATTTTACTTGGCATATTACCACACAGGAAAACTCCATTACAAAACTCCAGCCTATAAATATATTTTAATGTCATCAAAATTAATACTTTAAATTTCTCAACTTAAGTTTTTAATTCAAATAGGCTGCTGTAAATGCTCGTACTTTAAAATTAATATAACAATCTTTGATGCTATTTTTTCATTTGTTAATTTAAGTAAAGACTTCCTGAGATCTTTCAGTTGTAAAATTTAAAAGTAACTAACTCTATTTGTCCAGCACTGTTGAATTCATCTTAGATTTTAATGGTATAAAAGTTCAAATAAACGAAAGATCAACAAAGAACATTATCAGGAACTTAATGTACTTTAATCTCTATAAAATAAGGATATATTTTAAACCTTTTAAACTCGTCTTTAATTTTACTAATTTAAGTCAACCGATCAAGTTCCCTAGAGTTTTGTTACTTCTTAAGTAAAATCCAAAAATTCCACTGAAATTCAACTATCCTACTTCCTTTGTTTTTTATATACCACATCTGAATTATACACCACACATACCAAATACTACACAGGGATTCTGTGTTTTATTGTCGCTATTGTTACCATATTCAAGTAACCCTTTTGTTTTTACATTCCAATTCGGCCATGTTTACATGGTTTGCTTCTAAACATTAATAAAGTTAATCTTCTTCTCAATTGTTCCATCTCACATTATATATGTTATATGATATTAGACATTATATAAACATGCAGTTAATGTTTTAAATACAGAAGTTATCTTTTTGCAGCAGACCTGCAGTTTTCTGGGAGTTTCTAAAAAACAAATGCTGCTTCTGCTTCCAGGTTTAGTTTGGACTCAGGACATAGACCTGATCCCAGACCACCTGAGAGTGAGAGAACTAGACTGACGTGGTTTTCCTGGTCACAGTCTTCATGGAGAGACCTAAAGGACTATAGGAATATAAAATATATAAAATAATAGCTCATAGATTCTTCAAAAACTAAAATAATCTTTAGTTGGAGGCCACAAGAACTTCATCATCAGTCTGATCAATGTGTGTGTGTGTGTGTGTGTGTGTGTGTAACACCCCTCTGTCAGCAGTATTGATTGGTGGATTTCAGACTCTCAGGTCACCTGAACCAGTTCACCTTTAAACCATCTCACATTCATCTGTTCAATATGAACACACAACTGAAGTGTTCATACTGAAATATATACATTACTGTTATTAACCTCTAAAACTATTAATTAATTTATTTATTTATTTATTTATTTTATTGTGTTTTTTTCAGAGCTTATCCTGACACGTTGGGATTCTTTGGAAACTTTGAAATAAAGTTTTGAGGGTTTGAATACATTTACACTGAGACAGAACTCTGAAACAGTCAGTAGATACGTTGAAACTTTACGGTGAACAAAGAGACGGTGTGTGTGTTGCTCATCATCATTATCATTATCATCATCATCATCATGTCGTGACCTTTGACCTCTCTCTGTCTGTTTTCTTTTGTCTGTTGCCTGTCCCACCCTCTCTCATGTGAAGTGCTCTTCTCTTATTTTCACTTAGTTTCTCAAAAGATTCAGAGAATTAGCTTTAAGTAGCCACTTAGCTGTGTGTGTGTGTGTCTTTCTCTTCCCGTCAGTAGTAGCTGGATTGTTTTATTCCAACTAAAAATAGAAATTATATTTTTGGTGGTTTATACTGCCTTGAAAATACTTTAGAGTAATAATATGTTTTTTACAGAGTGTGCCACAAATCATTTTCTTTCCCGATTTGGGACTAGATTTGAGTCAGTCCCTAGTCTAGCCAAAAACTTGACTCGGGACTTGTCAGCCTTGACTCGGGACTTGACTGTCTTGATTTGTGACTAGATCTGAGTTTTGATCTGTTAGTTTCGACTCGGGACTCACAGATAAGTAAACCACGCAGCAGCAAACAAAGCTCAACTGTGTATACTGTTTATTAAATCACCATACAGATAATCAATCAGGGAGAGAGCATTGATACATTTACTGATTATTGGCATGCTATCTTGTCATATGATTGCTTTTGAAGCAATGCCACACATTCATATGAATAAAGTTTATTAAAATTGGAAACAACACAGGCGACGTTTTTGTAAATTGAGGCTTGGTTTCAGGGTTTCAGGTCGAGGTTAGGGTTACAGGGTTAGGGTAGGGTTAGGTCAATGAGGGCCTCAAGAGTGTTTGTGTGTTTAATAAACTGGGTTCCCATAATTCCCAGGTGAAGCCTTGTGTTCCTCTACTCCGTCAGACGGTGAGACAGTCAGATTGCAGCCTGTTCGAAGTCTCTGTCAATGATTACTGAACAGACCTTGACCTCCGTGCTGCTCACTTCAAAACACGACTAGTATCTGTTGTTCAGAGCACGAAAACAGGCCGGACTCTGTAAGGACACACAGGCACTATCTATGTTTACATGGGGCCTAATATTCTAATTAAAATAAAAGTACAAGCAGAATAAAACTGATTCACGTAAAACACCTCAATCAGACCCAAACTGCCTGAAACATTAGCAGGTTTGGTTCTGGAGTACTGGATTAATGCACAAAAATCTGCTGCAATCCAAGATGTTGACATGAACAATATGCAGAAGATTACAGACTGGATCTTTGACAGATTTTATTTGGATTCTTATATAATATGATATGATATATGATGATAGAGATCTGGATACCATTTGAAATACCTCCTGAAATGTTTTAATTCATGAAAGGCACTTTGTAGCTTGTTTTTGAAAAGTGCTATGTAAATAAAGTTTATTATTATGATTATTATTATTATTTGATCTTTCTGGATACAGGGTCTTTTAGTCATAAACCCATCAAAAGAAAATTTGTACCATGTGACATTTAACCTGGTTACTCTCACCTATAAGCCAGGTGTGTTTTAAGTGTGCAGTCCAGGAAGCGTTCCTACCCAAAACTTTTTTTTTTACTTCCTGTATTGTCTGTGTTAATGTTTTCATCTTTAGAAATCTTGCATTAAAACCATCTGTTGTTTTCTTTTGTGTTTCAGTGAGCACCCCTAATTTTCCCTGATTTACGTATCGCTGTCAATCACACCCAATGGAATCCAATCAGAAAGCAAGCGGGGACGGACTGGCGGGGACGCAGAAGGAAGCAGCACTGCGGGCGCTCATGCAACGCACAGGATACCAACTGCAGCAGGTAGGAAGCTGCTGCTGCGTGAAGCTCAACACATCTCTGAAACCGATATCTATCCGCAACATCTGACTCTACCGATCTTAATAGTTCATTAAACTACTGGTTGACCCTTGAAAATGAGCATCAGTACATATTTTACTTAAGTACTTTACGTATCAGTACTTAGTGTTTTTTTTAATTTGCTTATTTGTTATTTTTGGGATGTGTTTCAGGAGAACGGCCAGCGGCGGTACGGCGGCCCACCGCCCGACTGGGATGGCCCACCACCGGAGAGAGGCAGTGAAATCTTTGTGGGGAAACTACCGAGAGATCTGTTTGAAGATGAACTGGTCCCTCTGTGTGAGAAGGTGTGAGAGACGGAGAGTATAATATCTTGGTCCAACAGGTTAGCATGTTATTCTCATATCTTTTTGCATTCCTTTCTTCCGGTCTGCAGTTTGGAAAGATCTACGAGGTGAGGATGATGATGGACTTTAATGGGAACAACCGAGGTTATGCCTTCGTCACCTTCAGCACCAAACTGGAGGCCAAAGCAGCCATGAAGCAGCTCAACAACTATGAGATCAGGTCAGGGTTTGGTCCTTCTTTCAAAGGAGCCAAAATAGAACCTGTGATTGGAACCCAAGGCTGCAATATTTTCTTGCCTCATCTACCGGATCTTTGTAGCTACAATGGTTAATTATTGATTTTGTCTACATTCTCTCTCACCACTGTGCTGCTCTTTCGTCCTACAGAAATGGCCGCCTCCTCGGAGTTTGTGCTAGCGTTGACAACTGCCGTCTGTTTGTGGGCGGGATTCCCAAAACCAAGAAGCGTGAGGAGATCCTGTCTGAGATGAAGAAGGTTACTGACGGGGTTGTGGACGTCATCGTGTATCCGAGCTCCACAGATAAGAGCAGAAACCGAGGTTTCGCCTTCGTGGAGTACGAGTCCCACAAAGCAGCAGCCATGGCCCGCCGCAAACTGCTGCCAGGTAGACATCAAACACTAAACATTCAACTTTATTCTTTGATTATTTTTGGTCAGATTGGAGCCATGTAACAAATAAAACAGTTGAGAGCAGGGAATGTTTGCAAAACTATTGTTGGTGCATTCAAGGATGCATCTGTTGAAAAGGATTGCATTGACAAGCTTTGTTGTTAGATGTGTCAGACATTATTTTAAAGCTGCCAAAGTAGAGATATTAAAGTATCAAGAACAACATCATAAAAATATCAAAGTCTCCTTCTGACTGTAAGACTGCGTTATCACCAGCCAATCCCAGCCTGTGTCACTGACTCAGTGCCCAGTGAAAGAGGAGCTCTGATGGGTGGGATGATAAGATAAATTAGCCCTATGACGGGGGTGATCACAGCTATCAGAAAATCAGAAAACATTTCATGGACATAGTAGTTAATCTGTCTGACAAAGAAGTGCAGCATCTCCTCGAAAGCCTCTGCGATAAGATAGTTTATTGCTTTGATCTACACGGGAAGGTTGTTTGTGTAAAGCTGAATGTGTGTGCAACCTTAAACCAGACAGAATGAGCTGTAGATGCTGAGTCACTGGTGGTCCTGTCAGGTAAAAAGTCCTGTTTTCAGGGTGGAGAATATTGCTAGAGGTGTAAAAGTACAGAAACACAGGGTGGTTGACTCGGGATGCAACTGCAATCAGTACTCGCTGTAAACCAAATTGCTGAATACATTTTTATTAGCTCCACATAAGACTGTGTGGAACATTTAATGGAGTTAAAATGGGTCAACTTTAGTCTGTCATTGGGTTAGCCCCTGTATGTAGCTCAAACCGTTATCTATTATATGCTGCACTTGTTTTGATGAACTTCTTTTATATGAATGCAGTACGATTTATGGCCAATGACAAAAATACCTTAAAGTATTGTATAGTAAGATAGGATATTTTGTACTGTTAGCTCATCTGCACTAGTTTCGCATTTCCTATTGTTTCCAGCGTAACTTGAAGGCAAGATCACAAGTCACACAACGAGATTAAACCAAGCCAAGCCTTGAGTTTGGCATTTTGGCCGCCGCCATGACAGTTTGACAGAGCCAACGGAGGTGACGTACTGTGAGTTGAGCGTACAAGCGATTGAGACCATAAACTTGTTAGGAAACTGTTTACTGAGCTCCTTAATGAAATGAGAAGTGGGTTCATTCTCCATTAGAGTGAATGGCATCGGTCTTTTATTGCAGCCAATGGAGATCCCCTGCTGGACTTTACATAGAATGCAGGTTGTCTGTTATATATACTGTCAATGGATGAAGCCTACCTGTTCTCTCTCTCAGGTCGCATTCAGCTGTGGGGCCACGCCATCGCCGTGGACTGGGCGGAGCCTGAGGTGGAGGTGGATGAGGACACCATGGCAAGCGTCAAGATACTGTACGTCAGAAACTTGATGTTGCAGACCACAGAGGAGACCATTGAAAAGGAGTTTAACAGCCTCAGACCAGGTAGTAAGATGACACAACCCAGCAGTCAACTCTCAAAGTTCATGTGTTGGAGTGTCCCTGAATGCACCAACAGGGACAGGTGATGGATTATTGATCTGCAGACAGGTTCTCTGCATGTAGACTTTTAAGGGTTTTAATGACTTTGGATGTATAGAGCAATATTTAATAACAAATATATATAACGTGTGCTGTGCCACAAGGATCCATTTTAGGACCCTTAATATTTGTTATTTATATGAATGATTGTTTCCACTCTGTTTGCTGATGATGACCAAATATCAACAAACAAAATGTTGTTTTCACAAATAGATTTGCAAAAAAAACTGCTAATGAGGGAATGTTTAGGATTATTAAAAGTCAAATTTCACAATATTTGCAGAAGGTATGCTAGGCATTATGCTAAGGTGTCAGTTGATGGAACAGACATTTTCAGTTTCAGTTGATAAGAAATTTAATATGGGGAAAAACAAACTAGTTTGATCGATGTGTTTTGTTCATTAGCTTTGTATTCTTAATTGTTTCAGCCAATCAGGCCCTCCTGGAAGTTGTAGATTCAAGCAACTTTTCTTCAAATTTGACCAATCATTGTAGTTTCCTGCACAAAATGCTGAGCCGTCAACTAGTTTCTGCCAAACAGTGTGATTTTATTCCCACCTGAACCAGTTTTTTAAATAAATTATACAAAAAATAATAATAATTGCAGCTATTTTTTGCAATTTCTCTCGAATTGTTGCATCACAATTGTTTAGATAAGCTGCCGTGAAATCAGATATTTTAGGCCCTAACATTCCCACAGAGAGCCTCTGTAATCCTGGGGGGTCTAACTAATACAATCTTCTCTTATTTCAAACTTTCAATCAAACTCCCGGGAGGCCTTTGTAGCTCTGTTCAGAAAATTTCAGTAAAATACATAAATATTCATCAGATGTGTGAGTCTATATGTAAAAATATGTTATTGCCGCCTTCCATCCCCAAAGTAAGTTGAACATTCATTTGACATGTTAAATATCGGATTAAATAAGATTTACACTGGATCAAAGCACATATTATTGCATTATTGAAGGTGTTCTGAGTCTTATGTAACCTCTTTTTATTTCTATTATCTGCTTTTGTATGTGTGCAGATTTGACAGAATGGTCTGAACTTAGTGGCTCCAGAAAGCTGAATAAAGAACCAAGCTTGAATTTGTGTAACAGGCGCAGTGGAGCGAGTGAAGAAGATCAGAGACTACGCCTTCGTCCACTTCACTCAGAGAGAGGACGCCATCAACGCCATGAACGCACTCAATGGAAAGGTTGGCAGCTTGAAGTTCTTCCTGTGATCCCAATTTAAATACGCTCAACCTGAAACCTCTCCAGCAGTAAAATGCAACATACATGTTAATGCAGCAGTGCTATTCAATTATGAATAATGATGACGTGAATATTGTCTCCTTCATCCTCCCTCCAGGTGGTGGATGGCTCTCCTATCGAGGTGACTCTAGCCAAGCCGGTGGACAAAGACAGTTACGTCCGTTACACCAGGGGGACAGGAGGACGGGGAGGATCCCTGCTGCAGACCGACTATGCTGCCTACACTCTGGGACAGGTACAAGTGCTGCAGGAGGTAGTCCTCGTCCCAAAATATTTGCTTGTTTAGGTGGAAGAAAAGATGTCGTCCAGGAGTGTTGTGTCATCTGTGTTGTTTTAGTGTATTTGAATATTTCTGCAGACTGGGGTCCATAAAGAGTGTTGGAATAAAAATAATGGTAATGACTGGAAAGGTGAGACACATACTTCATGCCACCCCTGCATAGATCAGTGCCCCACTTGTACCAGCCATATAGCCCCATAGATTTAAGGGAAAACTAGGGCCCGAGCAGTGACTGAAATTCGCGGACCTGTAAAATCAATTGTTACCCAAAACTTCATCGTACCATGAACTAAGCAGCTGCAGACTGAAGGTTAATGTCCACAAAGACACAATAGGAGATATGATGGATGTACAGGTAAAGTCACTGTGGTAAACAGCTCCATCTAGTGGACAGTTTCAATTATTAAACTGTAAAGGAAGGTAACTGATGTAAATGCCATAAAAAAAAAATGATTACTGACAAAACCTAACATAGAAAAAGAGTAAAAAAAAACTAAGTAATCAAAATGCAATAGGAAGTGTGATGAGGTGGTGAAGCAGCGTGGGATCGTGGGAGTCATTGCAGTCAGCTTCTCCCGGTTAGGATTCCTTCAGTGTTCATGATTCAGGAGGTTTCTACCAGGAGCCCAATTATCCACAGAGGTCTCCTCCTCTCCAAAACAAACAGACCCTCTGATTAAAACCACTAAACACACAGAATAAAGCAGTTCCACTTATACATATTCCTACTGTTCTCCCCACGCTGTTGACAGACAAAGGACGTTCCTGAGGGCTGCCGAGCCGAGCTGCTGCTAACGTTTAGCTTCAGCTTGTTTTCCTCTGATAACTTATAGATCAGACCGTCTGAATGACTAAAATCCCTTCATCCGGTTCAATCTAGAGTTAAAAAGCACAAAGATCTAAACATGATGGGTAAACAATGTGGCTTTAAACTGGATAAACAGTGAATATATGACAGCTTCTGGCAGACAACCACAACGGGATCACCAAAGTCAGGTGTTTTTGTCCTCTGAGGAACATAACTGTCTTTACAAAATGCCACAATCTGTTATTACATATTTCACCGGATAATCAAAAATAATTTATATGAGATATAAAAGTAAGCACTCTTTCCTCCTCCTCCTCCAGGTGTACGACCCCTCAGCGGCGTATCTCGGTCCGCCCGTGTTTTACGCCCCCCAGGCCTACACTGCCATACCAGGTCAGTTCCGCTTCCCACCGGCCAAAACTCACGTTGGAGGTCGAGGTCTGATCAGAACGCCGTCTGTTAGAGGTGAGGACGGACGCAGTTTGCTTTCCTCCTGAGCTTAAACAGAAGAAACCTTGTGTTTTAAAGATATTACATTCAGTTTAATTCCCAATTAAATTAAAAGGAAAAAGGTTTTCACTGCACAGCATGGACGTTTCTGATCAAAGAGATTTTTCTTGGTGAATTGACCGTTCACTAAACCACAAACCAAACAACAGCACATCCACTGTGTAGTAGTTTTTTCCCCACTGTGAGGAAGCTATTCCTGGGGTTTTAAGCTATCATTAGCGGCTCTGTAACGATCTTTATTGGACATGAGGAAGTTTAGCCCGGCCAGCATTACTCAAGTCTACATAAACAGCACTTCATCCTCAAAACCATTTCTCATGTAAAGTGAAAATAGGCCGCTTGAAAACACATATAAGTATGTAAGCTACCTAGCTAGGGGTCACAACAAAATAACTCCAACTTTAATTAAATAAATATCTTTATACACAAAGGAGGGGTAGGGCTTTTGGAACAGTCAATTCACCAGTAATATTTTATGATCTGCTTATACTGCTTCAAAAAAAGTCTAACTGAACTGTATCGAATCAAGATCACCCAAATATAAAGAATATTGTTTCAAAATGATTTGTTTGCCTGAATATGGTTGTTAACAGGAATCAAATATGATCCACTGAATCAAAAGTGAAACTTTATTATGTTAATTATACATAAGATCTTGTAAAGATGGAGCAAAAAATTAAAAACTGGAAAATGAATCATCCAGAGAGATAATCCTCTGTGAATTATAGACAGATGCACTGTTACTATGACTACCGCTGTAGTGCTAACACTGGGTAGATGTAAGGTGGAGTTACCATGGCTACCACTGTACATGTTCAGTCTGACTGAATAATTGTCTCTGTGTGATTCTTCTTCCCGGTTGATTTCCGGTGATTTGATTGATTTCACTGCCTTTTCGGTCTCCTGTAGAAATTTACATGACTGTACCTGTAGGGGCTGCCGGGGTGCGGGGGCTGGGTGGGCGGGGCTACCTGGCCTACGCTGCCGGGGTTGGAGCCATGGGTCGAGGCGGCAGCGGCAGTGCCGCCTACGGCCTGAAGGCAGACAAGCAGGCAGAGGAGAAGCTGTATGACCTTCTGCCAGGCATGGAACTAACCCCTATGAACCCTGCTGCAATGAGTCTGAAGGCCGCCGCCATCAAACCTGCACCACAGGTAACACAACACACATGAGAACCAGGAGTGTTAATACTTGATTACAACTTCGGTCTTACTTTTTTAGTTTTGTCCCCCGTTTTTATTAGTTAACATCATACTCACTAAATGACTAGGACTAGGTCTAGGACCAGTCCACAGGATGGAATCAAGAATTTGAAGGGGTCAGCAAGAGTTCTCAATGACCCCTCCAAATCCTTGTTTCTGTGACCCCTACTCAAGTGTTTTGGGCTTAGAGAAGGTCTATGACCGTGTCTGCCAAGGTATCTTCTGGGAAGTACTTTTGGTTATCGGAGTGATTACTAAGAGCCATTTGCTACTTGTATGACACGAGTTATAATGTATGAATGTATGTGGTGTAGGTGATATTGAGGTGTTGAAGGTGCAAAAGAAAACTAGAAAATTCCTAAAGAAATTTTGAGTGTGCCTGACTCTGGCCCACATATTAATACCTTGTCATCCTCTGTAGCTAGCTATGTGTGTGCGTGTATGTGTGTGTTCACAGGCAGGCTTTGGTTGTCGTGGCAACCAGGGGAGACCACAGCA